CGGGCGTGTGTGATCACAGCCACTAGGGCCGTCGGTGGCGCTCCCTATGGGGCCACGCAACGCTGCACTGGGCGGCAACGAAAAGCTGCACTGGGTGGCGCGAACGTTTATGATCACAGCCACCTGGGGCCGTTGGCGGAGCTCCTCTATTGGGCCACGAGACGCTGTACTGGGTGGCGCGGACGCATGTGATCACAGCCACTTGGGCCTTCGGCGGAGCCACCTATGGGGCCACGAAACGCTGTGTTGGGTGCACTGGCATTGTGAGCATGGGAGGGCAGAAGCTAGGGTGGGAGACGGGGGAGGGGGAGAGGGGGAGGGGGAGGAGGAGGAGGAGGAGGAGGAGGAGGAGGAGGAGGAGGAGGAGGAGGAGGAGGAGGAGGACGACGAGGAGGAGGAGGAGGAGGAGGAGGAGGAGGGGGAGAGGAGGAGGAGGAGGAGGAGGAGGAGGAGACGGAGAAAGAGGAACGCGGGGCGGTGGCTCTTCAAAACGATGACCCAACACCACAGGATAGTTAGAAAAAGTTGCTAGAGGTTCACGGATTGAGGACGGGCGCTGTTCACAATTTCGCTCGCGCGTTAGCGCCGAACGCGTTCGTATTAAACATGTGCAAGGGCTGCACGGATTGAGGGTGGCTCGGTTTCAAAATGTTGCTCTTTTCTTAGCGCCGCATACAGTCGCCTTAAGCATCAGGAAAAGCGACATGGAATGAGGGCGGTTCCTGTTCAACATGTGGTTCTCGCCTTGATACCGCGCACCTTCGTCTTAGACATTTGCAAGGGTTTCACGAGTTCCCACGGTCAACGTACAAGAAATGGCGCTTTGGAACGATGTTGGATTATCAGGGCACAACTGTTATATTGATCCAGGGTGTTGAAGTCCCAGGGGCGGCGTTCTGGCACGATTCAGGACTGACAAGACGCAACAGTCAGGTTGATTCGTTGCGCTGGACTCCCGAGAATGGTGTTTGGGCGCGCTTCAGGATCTTGAAACGGTTGTCTCCCAACGGGGCACTTCCCTGTGGAAGAGCATCCTTGCAGGGGCCTATGAAGGGGGAGCTTGGAGGGAGGGTTTTTTCCAACATCGTTGATGAGCCTTGGGGTTACAGTGGTCCTATTCCTCCTCCTCTCATCCTTTAAATGACTGGCAATCGTGTTATCAGTAATACGATGAGTATTAACAGTGCTATTATTCTTAATAGTACTATCAGTGTCCGTTTTCTTCGTCTACTTCGTATGTGTATTATTATTCATAGTACTGCTAATAATAATAATAATAATAATAGTAATAATAATAACAATAATAATAACAACAACAACAAGATTGAAGTAAAACTTAGTATTGATACTATTGTTATGATGAGTAATATGTTTACTGTTGGTATCATTTGCAAAAGTATTACAATCCGCCATCTTCGTCGTTTTCCTCCTCTTCCTCTTCTTCCTCTTTCTCCTCTTCCTCCTTGTCCTGCTCCTCCTCCTCCTCCGCCTCGTCCTCCTCCCTCTCCTCATCACTCTCCCCCGCCTCCTGCCCCCCTCCCGCATCCCCGCTCTCCATCACTCCGTCCTTCCTTCCCCTCCCGCCCGCCATCTCCATCCTCCCCGTCCGAGCCTTCAGCTCTCTATCCACAACTCCTGCCCTCCGTCCCGCCTCCCTCCTCCCACCTCGTCGCCGGCATGGCACGATTACCCTCGCCCTCCCTCCCCCCCCACCCTACCCACGAGCACGCCCTCTGGTGCCTCAGAGCCCGTCTCACACCTTGAGCTTCTGGTTGTACTTGGGCAGCAGCAGCTGGGGCGCCTGCTCGGCGGTGGACAAACCTCCCTTTAGTAAACCACCCTTTAGTGAGAACGGCCTGGGACCAAAATCGACGGGCCTGGACCCGCAAAAATGACGGCCGCGACGCCTTCTCGCGAACCAAAAACGGCCAATTCACTAATCGACGTGTCAGGGTAGGAGGTCTATCAATCTCCGACCTTCTCCGCCGCCGACCTCGTCACCTGGAACAGCGCCACGGCCCCCGACGCCAGGGCGGCCAGGAACGCCAGCCCGCGGAGCGGCGAGGAGCGCGCTGGCACGGGCTGCGGGCGGGTGACGATGAGCTCCTCGGAGGGAGGAGCGGAGGAAGGACGGAGGAGCAGGAGCAGGGAGGGAAGGAGGAGGGAGGGAGGCGAAGAGGAGGAGCAGGAGCAGAAGGGAGGAGGAGGAGGAGGAGGAGGAGGAGGAGGAGGAGGAGGAGGAGGAGGAGGGAGAGGAGGAGGAGGAGGAGGAGGAGGAGGAGGAACAGGAGGTAAGGAGGAGCAGGAAGTAAGGAGAAGGAGGGGAAGGAGCTGCAGGAGGTGCAGGGCGGGGAGGAGGGTGTGGATGTGGAGGAGGCGGACGCGGCATTTCATTATGAAGAGAAAGAGGGGGAACGATAGGCGGTCGCCGTTCTGTCCATTCCCGGCTGCTGCCTTCCACTGTCGGCGCCACGGGGGCACGGCAGGCTCGTGTCGTGACGTTCCCTCCGTTGTTCCCTGGCACCACATCACATGGATCGTTCAATCTCTAACGATCGGTGGCTTTTCGATCGCCAGGTCGTGCCATTTTAGCAGATTGCGGGACCCTGCGACGTTCAACCTTGAAAGCCCGCGGCGGAGTCACTGCCGTGTCGGCACGGCACGAACGAACCTATCATGGGGCATGGCCTCCAGAGGCTGGGTAGGTGGCGACGTCGGCACCCTACCCGTACCCCCACCAACCATCGATTCTCCTGAATCGATGGGAGGCGGGTGCAGGGTTCGGATTTCGCCACGTGTTTCAGGAATTCCGAACCCTACCCCCGCCGCCCATCGACTTGACTGAACCGTTCGTTGATCGGCGAGGGTAGCGCTCAGATTTCGCCGCTGATGGGTTCCTATCCATGCCCCCACTCTGGCCACTCGTGGGGCTGCGGCCATGGATAAGACCTCGGTCGCCGAATCGAGGCTGTTCTTGGCCCTGCTGCTGAGCCCCTGGAGGCCTCTGGGGGATCTCCGGAGATCTCGGGGGACCTCCTGGGGAGGAGAGAGGTAGACGAGGAGGAGGAGGAGGAGGAGGAGGAGGAGGAGGAGGAGGGAGGAGGAGGAGGAGGAGGAGGAGGAGGAGGAGGAGGAGGAGGAGGAGGAGGAGGAGGAGGAGGAGGAGGAGGAGGAGGAGGAGGAGGAGGAGGAGGAGGAGGAGGAGGAGGAGGAGGAGGAGGAAGGGAAGAGGAGTAGAAGGAGGAGAAGGAGGGACGAGGGAGGAGGGACCACTAGCACGAGGGAGGAGGGACGAGGAAGAAGGACGATCAGCTCCTCTTCCATCGTCCACATGCTCACCGCGGTGTCCTCGTCGTAGCCCTCCTGCTGAGGGGAGCCGGCTATGCACCAACCCTCGGCCGGTGTTACAGTCGCCTCCTGGCCTGGGCCGTCTGCTCCTTCCCCAGTCACTCGTTCCTTCCCCAAATAACCGATGTCTTCATTTCTGAAATTCGAGGTCCACGGAAAACGCATAAGCATAAAACCTGCGGAGCTCCGAAAAGTTGATGCTTCTGCCGCGTTTTCTTCTTCGCTGGAAGCCCCGACCCTTCCCCCAGGGCCGGCGAGAGCCCCCCGAGGCCGACAACGGCCAAGAACCCTTCCGTCGTGACTTTCCACGACGCGAGCACGTCTGCCTCTCCATCTTTCAGTGCGTTGACTGGCGTGCCGGCGTCTGCTCTCGGCGCTTGCACCATGCCTCCACAGGCCTCCGACGTAGGCCTCCGGGGAACCTCCACGGAAGCAGTCGGGGTACCTCCGAGGCCACCAGTGGGCATGCACCGATCCTGGCCAGGCCCACTGGGCCAGGGGCGCCGCCTGCGCCCTCCCGGCTCGGCCGGGGGTCCTGGGCCCAGGACCAGCCTGGCCAGGATCCCTCTGATCCTCCTCCTCCTCCTCCTCCTCCTCTCCCTCCTCCTCTCCTCCTCATCCTCCTCCTCCTCCTCCTCCTCCTCCTCCTCCTCCTCCTCCTCCTCCTCCTCCTCCTCCTCCTCCTCCTCCTCCTCCTCCTCCTCCTCCTCCTCCTCCTCCTCCTGGGGCAGTCGGCTGCACACAATGAGTGACCCCTGGGCAAGCGTGACCAGGGGTGCGCGGCGCGTTGGAGGGACGCTCGGGAGCCAAACCCAAGCCCGCCAGCCGCTTCTTTCGCACCGCACTCGGCAATCGGGGATCCCGGATGTGTCCGCGCCGAGGATCCCTCTGGCGAAGGGTCGCCCTTGCCCTGACATCTTCCGATGATATTTTTTGGATCTGCGGCCCCAGAGATCCCAGCCCCTTCCCCAGGAGTAGTTTCGCGCCCAGAAACAGTTTTCGATGATCCACGGGCGCGGTAACGGCCTCCGGAGGCCGAAGTCGAGGAAATTCGCCCGGAGCGGAGAAAATCCTATCCTCGGAGATCTGGGCACGTGTGGTCGAGGCCACGAAGCCCAGGGCCCAGGCATGGGCCTGGCCTGGGCCGGAGGTGCGGTGCAGCCAGCGACCCCCCAGGGCTCCTTGCTGCCGGGCCGCCCGCCGGCTGCGGCGGCGTGCGCCCGCATCTCGTCCTGGGACACGGAGGGGTCCAGGCCCGTCTTGGCGTACCTCGGAGGCGGCGAGCACACAGCCATCGCGCCACCAGAGGGGCCGCCGAGTGGCGAGCGGAGGGGCGTCTCTGGCCACGGCGAGCCTCGGCCACGAAGAGGTTCCCCGACCTGGGCCCGAGCAGCGGCCCGAGAGCCAGAGCCCCTCCGGAACCCAAGGCGAGCCTTGTTACCCGTCAGGGTGAGGGGGCCGAACGGTCACCCGCCATCCCCGGGTGCTCGGGTGACGTGGGATCTCGTGGCCCGAATTCTGCCTGTGTGCTGTCTGTTTGTTTGTTTGGTTGGTTGTTTGTTTGTTTGGTTGTTGGGTTGTTGTTGTTGGTGGTGGTGGTGGTGGTGGTGTTGTTGCTGCTAATGCTGCTGCGGTTGTTTTTGTTGGTGGTGGTGGTTATGTTATTGCTACTGTTTTTGCTGTTGGTGGTGTTGCTGTTGCTGTTGCAGCACATGATGGCGTTGTTGGTGTTGCTGCTGGCGTTGTGGGTGGTGCTGTTGTTTTTGGTAGTGGTATGGCTGTTGTTGTTCATGTTGTTGATAATGGTGTTGTTGCTGTAGTTGTTGTTACTGTTGCTGTTGCTGTTTTTGCTGTTATTACTGTCGTCGTCCCCCAGAAGACCCTACCTCGACCCACCCCGCGACCCACCCGCGACTCACCCGCAACCCTCCCGCGACCCACCCCGCGCCTGCCCTCTCACTCTTATCCGCAACTGCGGGGGCGCTACCCATCCACGCCCTCACAATCTGGAGCCCGCGAGGCCGCGGGTACCCAGACATGCGATGTCCTGGTTTTTCCAAGAACGGGCCCCTGGAAGTCCCGACCGTTCCCTTGGACCGGTTCTCATCCTGAATAATTGGTTCACGGTCCTGGGGCCCGGTGAGGGTCCCCAGAGGCCGAAAACGGCGAGAAACCGCCCGTCCTGCATTGTCTCGCGACGCGGGCATGTCTGCACACGGGCGTGCTTCCCGCCCACGAGTGCCAGTCCTCCGCCTTCATCGGGGCCGTCGTGCCGCTGGCGTGCGGGTACGGGCACTCCCGCGGGCGGGCGTAGTGCATCCACTGGGCGAACAGCCGCCCGTGCAGGGGGATGCGCCCGCCGTGGTGCTCCGCGACCTCCCCGAGCTTCTGCCGGAGCGTCGGCGACAGAGGCCTGCCCTCGGCGGAGGACGCATTGGAGAGGAGGGACTCGACGACGGCCGCCAGCTCGCCGGCGGTCGCATCGGGTGCGCCCACCCTGTCCTAGAGTTGTGGATGCCACGACAATGCACACCCTAACAGTCCTATCATTGAGTTCAAAATGTGTTTCAAATGTGTAAAACATGCTGGAAAAAACGTTTCAGACATGTTTTTATATATTTTGGACATCTGGAAACTATTTCGCAGCATGCCTCCTCTCCATGAATCGACTTCCACAATCCTAGGGGAACAGAACCTGGCACGAACACAAAACCCTTTGGAGGTCCGCGCCGATCTCTTGGATCGGCGCTGGGCCCCCCTGCCTGAAGCGCGGAGCGGTGCCGGGGGTCCCCGCCGGGGAGCGCCGGCGCCGATCCGAGAAAAACTCCGCGCGGACCTCCAAAAGTTTACGTTTATGTTCAGGAAGCAAACTCTATACACCGACGCTTTTTCTGGCCCCGCATTGACATTCGCACAGGAAAGCGGATCCCGGTGTAAGCGGGACCCTGGTGCATACATTTTGCGCTGCTTCCCCGGGAAAACGGGGAAACAAGTACACACCACACCACACCGACGTCGTCCCCGACCCTCAAAAAGTCCTGGGATTGAGAAACAGCCCGCCACTGGTAATGTAGAGGTTCCAGTTTCCGATATGTCACTTGTTGGTTCCCCGAGATCCTCCACGTGGCGCATGATCTCTTCGCACTCGTCCATGCAGCACCTCGGCTGTACGCAGTCGACCCATGGAGCCCTTGTTGCCCGCCGGCCTTTTGCGCGGTCTTCGGCGGTCTCCCGCGCTCTCTTCCGACGCTCTTCGGCGGTTTCCGGCGGTCTTCGGCAGTTCCTAGCGGTCTTCGGCGCGAAAGCTGCGCGGCTGCGTTCAGCAGTGGGTCCATGATCGACCGCGTAATCACTCCTCGCGGAACGATCGAGGCGTTCCCCGCCCCACCCCCCGTTTCGAGCATTGTCCCTCCCCTGGGAATCCGACTCAAACACGGAGACTGGACGGCTGCCCGCGAAGCAACGTGGTCTGAGAGAGCTGAAATCGCAGTGGAAATGCTTTGGAAGCTGTAAGAGAAGAACGCGGGCGGGCATTGGAGCACTTAGAGATCTGAAGACGGGAGCATGAGTGCACGAAAACGGCTGCGAGAACTGGCATCACAAAACGGTCAGCGATATTTGTTATAAGTGTTGACATCCGTGGAGACAAAAACCGAAACAACCAGTGAAACCTCTCAACGGTGAGAGAAAGAAAGAGAGAAAGAGAGAGATGTTGCGAAGGATTATGATAATGGTAGTGGGAGAGGAGGACAAAGAAATAGAGAGAGAGAGAGACAACACAAGAATAACAACACCTGGCGAAAGAAACATAACAAAATCAACGACGACCAAAAAAAAGCTTACAACTCAGTGGTGCACACGGAGTAGTACTTGGAGGACGCCACGCAGTTGGAAGGGCTCTGGATATAGTTGGGGATGATCACACGCAGATTGGCCGGGTCGCTCTCGTCCAGCGCGCCCAGCTGACGCAGATACTGGACGCTCTCGCTGAACTGCCAGTTGTCTCCGTGCACGGCGCCACCATAGAAGTCTGACAGCCTTACGCGGCCGCTGCCACGGTCTTCTATCTCTACCAGCTGAACTTTCAATGACTGGCACTCGTGATCCTGCCACCGCCCGTACCGCTCGCCAATCTCCTCGATAACGGTCGCAATACTCTCAAAGCCCAGCTCCTCTCGCTTCGGAGCCGTCGAATTATACACGTCGAGCACGAACTGCTGCGTGGCTGGCCAGCTGGGATAGACCTCTTTGATCGCGTCACGCTGCGCAACCAGCTCCTCCCCCGTCACGGAGCTGAAGTTCATCCCCAGCACGTACATGGCCATGTACGACTGGATCACCTCCATCGCCTCCTCCTGGCTCAGCGGGTCCTTCAGAAGAAAATCTGCACAGGAATACACTTTCGGAGGTCCGCAGCGACTCCTTGGGTCGGCGCTGGACACCCCTCCCTGGCGCGCGGAACGCACCAGGCGCGGCACCGGAGGGACCGCCAGGGGTGTCCAGCGCCCATCCAATACGAGAAAGGCGGTCATGCACCATACCGTGTTTGAGGCCCCTTCAGGCCTCGCTCCAACGCGGTACGGTGCATAGCTTTTCGGGCTCTCAGGGCCGATAAACTATGCACCGTTCCATTCCTGGATCGAGGATTGACGACGCCTCGTGCGAGGCTGACGAGGAAGAGGAGGAGGAGGAGGAGGAGGAGGAGGAGGCTGACGAAGAAGAGGGGGAGGAGGAGGAGGAGGAGGAGGAGGAGGAGGAGGAGGAGGAGGAGGAGGAGGAGGAGGAGGAGGAAGAGGAGGGGACGAGGAGGGAAGAGGAGGGGGACGAGGAGGAGGAGGAGGAGGGGGAGGAGGAGGAGGGGGAGGAGGGAGGAGGAGGGGGAGGGGGAGGAGGAGGTGGAGGAGGAGGAGGAGGAGGAGGAGGAGGAGGGGGAGGCGGAGGAGGAGGCGGGGGACGGGGGACGGGGAGGAGGTCCGCGGAGGAGGGGCCGCCAGGGGGGCCCAGCGCTGGTCCAAGAGAGCCGCGCGGCCGAGCTGCCTCCTGTGTGGGCATCGGCCGAGGCGCCTCGGCTCTGCACAGCGGGTGGCTACACTGCGGTCGGGCATGTCCCCCTACAGGCAGATTTAGGGGGAACAGAAAATCCAAAAATACGCAAGAATGTTAAAAAAACAATCGAAAAATCGTCCCCATACTATTTGTTTGACTATTTTTGAATATTCCTCCTGTAGAGGGACATGCCCGGCTTAAGGCTACACCTGTTCGAACCCAGCCTTGCGGGGGCAGCACGTCGTACAGTCAACCCCGTAATAAGGACGCACGATAAGGTTGCAAGGACCTTAGAAGGCCATGCCGACACTTTGCCAGCGGGGCGCGGCCAGCGAAAGCGGCCAAGGATGGGCCGGAGGGGAAGGGTGCAAGGGTATCCTCGGAAAGTCGCTCATCCTTACTATGCGGGTTGACTGTACCTGCAGCTCCTTAGACAATACGAGGGGACGAATGGCAAGAGCCGCGCGGACCTCTGACAGTTTTTGCTGATGCCCACTCTCTTCTTCGATCCTTGGTGGAGCGGCTTAGCGCCCTGTAGGTGTGCTCCAGCCGCCCGAGCGCCTCGGCGTGCACCAGGTTCTCGAAGGTGGCCGCCAGCACCGCGAGCTCGTGCAAGTCGAAGCCGCGGTGCCCGACGCGCCTCTCGAAGAGGCTCAGCACGTAGGCGGGCAGCTGATCCTGCGATCCGGGCGCTGGGCGATGTTCGGTCCAGCTCGAAAGATGCCGCAGAGAGATGAGGTCTGGGCCTCCGGTCGTGATTTTTCGCAGTGCTGCAATCATTTCGCAACGTCTGATCTCAAGGGGTCCTGCATGATGAGCGTGGACGCCGTGGACGCCGAGGTGTTGAACGATTCCCCCGCCGGGTCGAGGCCCTGCACGAACCAGGCGTGGCGCTGGACGAACAGCCTGTGCATCGCGTAGCGCACGGCGGAGTCCTGGAGGCGGCCCTGCGCGTTCTTGGGGAGCGCGGTGTAGGTCGTGCGCAGGATGGCCTCGATGCGCCCAAGGCGGCCCTCTGTCGCCTTCCGGTGGCTGCTTCCCAGCACCTCCTCGATCTCGGCCAGCATGGCCTTCTCCATCTCGATGTCGACGCCGTGCGAGCCAGCCAGGTCGGGAGTGCGCCCTCGGAAGGCGCTTGCATCAGCCAGGCTGACGAGGGTGGCCAGCACTGACAGGCCACAGATGCAGACGAAGCGTTCTGGAATGTGGAACATGTTGAGCAAACTTCGGATGAGCTCAGTGAGTCCGGCGCGAGATGAGCAGTTTGAGTCTTGAGCCTGAAATGCCTGTGCACGGACATCCGTCCATCCCTCTTTCCATCTTCTCTCCTCCCTCCTCGAACCTTCACACCTCCCTCTTCCATCCTCCTCCAGACTGAAATATCCCGACTCCCTGCTTCCTCCCTGCTCATCATCATCCCTCGCCTGCCCGCTCCGCCTGGGGTGGGACCCACATAGACATACTAATACTATATGTCCTCCTTGAAAGCGCGCGTCCGACCCGAACATATAGTGTACCCATCTTGTAGTATATCGCTTCCCAAGTGGTGTGGCCAGAAAGCGCCAGCCACGACGCATATACTATAAGATTTCTCGGTGCGCGCGTCGCCCCAGGGGGGGCGGCGCACACTTAGTATTAATATGTTGGGGTGACGCCGACCGAGCCCCCCTCCTCTTCCCGTCTCCGTCACCGCTGTTTCATCGTCCTCCTCGTCCTCCCCTTCCACATCCACCTCCTCCTTCTCCTCCTCCGCCGCCTCCTCCTCCTCCCTCCTCTTCCCTGCTCCGTCGCCGCTGGTTCATCGTCCTCCTCGTCCTCCCCTTCCACATCCACCTCCTGGCTGGCTGGCAATCGACCATGGAGACGGAGTGCCTCGGTGTCAACATCATGCCGATCGAATGGCCATGCAAGAGCATGAAAAAGAAGGGGGTTCCTCCTCTCTCTCTCTCTCCTCCTCCTCCTCCTCCTCCTCCTCCTCCTCCTCCTCCACCTCCTCCTCCTCCTCCTCCGCCTCTCCTCCTCCTCCTCCTCCTCCTCCTCTCGCCTACTCCTCATCCGCCTCCTCATCCTCCTCCTCCTCCTCCTCCTCCTCCTCCTCCTCCTCATCATCATCATCATCATCATCATCATCATCATCATCAGCATCCTCATCCTCATCCTCATCCTCATCATCATCATCATCATCATCATCATCATCATCATCATCATCATCATCATCGTCGTCGTCGTCGTCGTCGTCTTCTTCATCATCATCATCATCATCATCATCATCATCATCATCCTAATGCTCCTCATCCTCATCCTCCTCGTCCTCATCCTCCTTCTCCTCATCCTTCTCTCCTCCTCCTCCTCCATTCCTTTCCCTTACTAAAATATTATCCCTGTCGCACCCCGAGGCCAGTTTTTAGGGAGGGCCGGGCGTTTCGCCTGACTTCCTCACCATTTGTGACCCACAGGTGAAGGGCGGGTGGCTTTCAAAATGTGGCTCTCGCCTTAGCGCGGCGCACATTCGTTTTAAAAATTGCAAGCGTTTCACGGATTGAGGGCGGGTGGTTTCCAAAATGTGGCTCTCTCCTTAGCGCGGCGCACATTCGTTCTTTAAATTTGCAAGCGTTTAACGGGTTAAGGGCGGTTCCATTTCAAAATGTGGCTCTCGCCTCAGCGCGGCGCACAGTCGTTCCCAAAAAAATGCAAGAACTTCACGGATTGAGGGCGGTTCCTTTTCAAAATGTGGCTCTCGCCTTCGCGCGGCGCACATTTCATTTAACAGCGTGCAAGAATTTCACGGATTCCCATCATCAACGTGCCAAGAATTGCGTGCTGAAAGGATTCAGGATTATGCGGGTGCAACAGCTATGTTGATTCGCTGTGTTGAAGTTTCAGGAATGGCGTTCTGGCACGACTCAGGATTGTCAAGACGCAACAGTCAGGTCGGCACGTGGCATGGAATCCCGAGAACAATGTTTGGGCATGCTTCAGGGTCTTCAAACGGTTGACTTCCAAAGAGGCAGTTCCTTCAATAGGGGCCTATGAAGAGGGAGCTTGGACGGAGGGTCTATTCCAAAATCATTGATGACTCTTGGGATTTCACTGGTCCTAATCCTCCTCCTCCTCCTCCTCCTCCTCCCCCTCCCTCTTCTCCTCTCTCCTCCTCCCTCCTCCTCCTCCTCCTCCTCCGTCTCCTCCTCCTCCTCCTCCTCCTCCTCCTCCTCCTCCTCCTCCTCCTCCTCCTCCTCCTCCTCCTCCTCCTCCTAATCCTCCTCCTACTCCTCCTCCTCCTCCGCCGGCCTCCTCGGGCCTCCGCCTTCTCGGCGTCACTCCTCGTACTCCTCGTCCTCCATTCGCCACCGTTCCCCTGGCACCTGTGCAAGAATTCAGGCCAGCTGCCTCGCAGGGTTTTGTAGGACTCCAAAGGCGCCCCCCCCCTGACGAACTACCAGACCACCCCAACCCAACCCGGAGACCCGAATGTCGGGTTGGGGGGGGTACAGGTTCCATCAGTCTTTTCCAATGCTCCCCGACGCCCCCCCCCCACTTGGTGGGTGGTGACCCCCGCCCCCCCAACGCGCCCTGATACGGTTTGATACCCTGCACTCTTCACAGCCACACGACGGGCACCAGCACGGCCCGAGAGCCCCGAGCGCAGGCAGAATGGCCCCCCGGGCGTTCCAAGATACGCCCGGAAGAGCCCGAGAGGCCACAGAAACCGCGAAGATGCCGCCAGGGAGACGTAAGGTCACGGGGGGTCAGAAACACTGAACGGGCTCGAGTGACTCGGACCGTCTTCCCTTTGGAGCAACACTGCAGGCCAGGCTTCGCGCCTCCATGACCTCCTGGCAGCAGATTGCCGTAGATGATCCAAAAACGGCAGCATCAAGAAAAAACAAGGAGGAGAACAAGGAGAACGAAGACGAGAACCTGGAGCAAGAAAGGGAGGAGGACAACGAGGAGGACGATGATGAGGAGGAGGAGGAGGAGGAGGAGGAGGAGGAAGAGGATAAAGAGGGGAGGAGAGAAAACGAGGAGAGGGAGAAAGAGGGGGGAGAAGAGGAAGAGACCGAGGAGGAAGGGGAGGAAGGGGAGGAGGAAGGGAGAGGAGGAGGAGGACGACGAGGAGGGACGAGGAGGAGGAGAGAGAGGACGAGGAGGAGGAGGAGGAGGAGGAGGGGAGGAGGAGGAGGAGGAGGAGGAGGAGAGAGAGAGGACGAGGAGGAGGAGGAGGAAGGAGGAGGAGGAGGAGGAGGAGGAGGAGGAGGATTAGGAAGAGGAGGAGGAGGGAGGAGGAGGAGGAGGAGGAGGAGGAGAGGAGGAGGAGGAGGAGGAGGAGGAAGGGGAGGAGGAGGAGGAGGAGGCGGAGGAGGAGGAGGAGGAGGAGGTCTTCTCTCCCGCTCCTCGCGCCCGCGAGGGGGGGGGAGGGGGGCGGTCCGCGCCCCCAGGGCCGCCCGCGCCAGCGCGCGCAGCCGCTCGCAGCCGGAGAGCAGCCGCCACAGCCACGGGAGCAGCAGGTGGGACCTGGCCGGGGGAACAGGAACCCATCGAGTGGGGGGGTCGACTGCAGGGCTGATTTACCCCCCCTAAACCCTAAAAACTAAGAGTCTATAAAGATTTAAATCCTAAAAGCCCTTAAGTCCCTCCTTCGGCCGCCCCCCCCATTTTGGCGCACCCCTCACGCAGATCCTTGCCCGCGGAGCGCCAGGAAAGGCGTTTTGGGAGGATCTGCAAATCCCAGGGTGCGCCCCTCACGCAGATCCTTGGCCTCGGAGCGCCAGGAATGGCGCCGGGCGCCCCCGCGGCGGGCGAGGCGGCCGCGGGCGCTGCGGCCCCCCCTCTGCGAGCTCGCGGGAGGGCGGCCCGGCGGACGCGGGGTGGCGCGCCGACCCTTCGGCGGCGCAGGCGGCCGCGGGCCAGCTGGGCGGTGCGCCCACGGCGACCGCGGGGGGCCCTGCGTCGCACAGGGACTCGCGTCAACAAACGTGGATATTGCGTGCAACCTCTCCGCCGCTGGGCGGCGTCCCTGCATCGCACAGGGACTCGCGTCAAAAAACGTGGTTCTTCAAATCGCGTCGTCACGCGCGCGGGCCGCATCGCCGTTGTAGCCGCGTCCCAGGTGTCTTTGCGCGGCCGCGTCGTCGTCGATTTGAAAACAATATCAACGTCGTCGTCATCGGTGTCGTCCTCGTCGTCGTTTTGCGAGTCGCGTGTTGATACCGCATCGAGATCAATATGTCTTGGGTCATGGGTGGGTGGGACACGGTCAAATGGGCTGCAAGTTTGGGCTAGTGGACCCTAAACCCTAAACCCTAAACCCTAAACGGACCTGGCCGGGGGAACAGAAACCCATCGAGTGGGGGGGTCGACTGCAGGGCTGAGTTACCCCCAAAAAAAACATTTCTTTTGGGGGGGGGTGGGGGGGCACCCTCCAAGCGCCACGAGTCAGCCTGGACGCGAAGTTATCGTGTCCGAGCTGCATTGCAAGCAATCGCCACGGAGAAACCCTCTCCGCGTAAATGCGCAAATAAAAAAAAACGAGTGAGACACTTGGGGTGCACGCCGAAAACAGCGGTCCAAACAGCTGATTTACCCAAAAAAAACGTTTTGTTCCGTCGGATATGGGGGAAACACGTCGAATGCTCCGTGGATCGATCGAGCATTCTATGTATTTCCCAACCATCTTGTGGTGTCGGGTCCTCTTTTTGAAGAGACAGCGCTCCGCGTCCCTTCCTTCCTTCCTTCATTCCTTCCTTCCTTCCTCCCCCTCCTAAAATCACAATCGTCATCATCATCATCATCATCATCATCATCATCATCATCATCATCATCATCATCATCATCATCATCATCATCATCATCATCAGCATCATCATCAGCATCATCATCATCAGCATCAGCATCATCATAATAATCATCATCATCAGCATCATCATCATTATCATCATCATAATCAGCATCAGCATCATCATCATCATGAGTATCATCAGCATCAGCATCAGCATCATCAGCAGCAGCAACAGCATCAGCATCATCATCAGCATCCTCATCAGCATCATCATCATAAGCATCATCGTCAGCATCAGCATCAGTATCAGCATCAGCATCAGCATCAGCATCATCATCACCAGCATCATCGTCAACAACATCGACATCATAATCATCAGCATCATCCTCCTCATCAACATCATCATCATCACCATCATCAGCATCGACATCGACATCAGCATCATCATCATCGTCGGCGTCGTCGTCATCGTCATCAGCATCAGCCTCCTCCTCATCATCATCAACATCATCATCAGCATCAGCATCAGCATCACCGTCATCATCATCAGCAGCAGCAGCAGTATCATCAGCGTCGTCAGCAGCATCACCATCAGCACCAGCATCATCATCATCATCATCATCATCATCAGCATCATCATCGTAAGCATCGTCATCATCGTCATCATCTGCAGCCGCACCATCATCAGTATCAGCATCAGCATCATCAGCAGCAGCAACAGCATCGAAAGTAGCATCACCAACATCATCATCATCAGCAGCAGCAACATCATCACCATCATCGTCATCATCATCAGCATCATCATCAGCAGCACAAACATCACCATCACCATCAGCACCGTCACCATCGTCGTCATCATCATCAACAGCAACAGCAGCAGCATCATAAGTACCAGCATCACTATCAGCATCATCATCATCACCAGCATCATCATCATCAACATCAGCATCAGCATCAGCATCAGCACCATCATCATCAGCAGCAGCAGCAGCAACATCGTCATCGTCATCATCATCGTCATTGTCATCATTGTCACCCCCGTTTCGGCACACCCCTCACACGCTTCGTGGCCCCATAGGGAGCTCCAGCTACGGCCCCAGTGACACCACCATTAGCATGTGGGCGTCACCCCCGTTTCGGCACACCCCTCACGCGCTTCGTGGCCCCGTGGGGAACTCCACCTACGGCCCCAGTGGCACCGTTCGTATGTGGGCGTCACCCCCGTTTCGGCACACCCCTCAAACGTTTCGTTACACCATAAGAGGCTCCACCTACGGCCCCAGTGACACCGTTCGCATGTGGGCGTCACCCCCGTTTCGGCACACCCCTCAAACACGTTTCGTGGCCCCATAGGGAGCTCCACCTAAGGCCCAAGTGGCACCGTTCGCATGTGGGCGTCACCCCCGTTTCGGCACACCCCTCACACGCTTCGTGGCCCCATAGGGAGCTCCAGCAAATATCCCAGTGGCAAAATTCGTATGTGGGCGTCACCACAGTTTCGGCACACCCCTCACACTTTTGTTGGCCCCATATGGGGAGCGCCACCTACGGCCCCAGTGGCACCGTTCGCATATGGGCGTTACCCCCGTTTCGGCACACTCCTCACGCAGTTCCTGGCCCCACAGGAAGCTCCACCTAAGGCCCCAGTGGCGCAGCCCGCATGTGGGCGACACTCCATTTTTCCGGCACACCCCTCACACGCTTCGTGGCACCATAGGGAGCTCCAGCTAAGGCCCAAGTGGCACCGTTCGCATGTGGGCGTCACCCCCGTTTCGGCACACCCCTCACACGCTTCGTGGCCCCATAAGGGGCTCCAGCTAAGGCCCCAGTGGCACCGTTCGCATGTGGGCGTCACCCCCATTTCGGCACACCCCTCACACAGTTCCTGGCCCAACAGGGAGCTCTACCTGAGGCCCCAGTGGCGCAGCCCGAGTGTGGGCGACACCCCATTTTTCTGGCACACCCCTCACACGTTTCGTGGCCCCACAGGAAGCTCCACCTACGGTCCCAGTGGCGCAGCCCGCATTTGGGCGACATTCCCGTTTCGGCACACACACACAAAAAAAAAAAAAAATAAAAAAACTCACACGCTTCGTGGCTCCACAAGGAGCTCCACCGAAGGCCCCAGCGGCACAGCCCGCTTGCGGGCGTTGCTCCACAGGGAATTTCACCTCAAATCGTACGCACATTTGCGGTACTCACAACTGCATATAGTTGGGTTCTTCACAAGATCGCCTGAGACAAAAAATTGAGGTTGTAGTCGATCCCCTACTCGAACCCTCAGATCCGGGCGTTGCATTTGTTTCACATCGGGCTTTTCGCCCGACTTCGGGCCCCGGGACCCTCACAGATCGATCCGGCTCGAAAAATGATGCAGAACGATGGGGTCCTGGGCTCCAGCCGCGACTTTTCGCCATGCTGCAACCTTTTCGCAACGACGGATCTCAGGGAGGCATGCAGCTACCAGAACGCTTCCCTGAGTCGCCCGAGGCCACCTGCCGGCAAGCTCTCTCCGAGCAGCCCGAAGGCGTACCTGCCAGGGGCTCCTCTGAGGCGCCCAGAGGTGCGCACGGCGAGGGCACGGGACGATGAGCCAGTGGATGCTCCGGGGGCGTCACCCCCGCCGACACCCCCGCCGACAGCCCCACATCGACCCCCGTCGCGGGCAGCCCTGGCGCGCCGAAGGCGCTCCGACCCCCCCCCCCGTCGCGGCGCGACGACGAGGCGGAGTTGACCCCCGTCGGGGGGGGTACCCCCCCACGCTTACTAAGAAAGCCAAGAGTAGGGGACTCAGGGCCTCGAAGCCCAGTCGTGCACCAATCGAGGCTTGGCCGTGGATGTCACGGCCGCCCATCATCAGAGCAAGACTCCTCCAGGATCTCAGGACGGACGCCTCTCCTGCATCGCCGGGGGAGGTCGGGGGGACGGGGGGGGAGAAAGACTCAAAGCGTGGGAACGCTTCGGTGGTGCGCCCGCGAGCCCGCCCAGGCCTCAGATGGATGAGGAAAGCCGCCGCTCCCGAATCCGACCCCGAGGAGGAGGGGGAGACCGAGACGGAGCGCTCCGGTCCAGAGTCCACTGCCAGTCCTCGCTCACTTCTCCATGTCCTTGTCGGTGTACTTCTGGCCCTTCTTGCCCTTGCCGCCCTTGCGGTCGAGCAGCGCCTTACGGTCCTTGTCGAGCTTGATTTTCGTGATCGTCACCTTCGACGGGTGGATGCCGATGGGCACGGTCTGGCCGTTGGCCTTGTCGCGCGTGACGCGCTCGATGTGGATGCGCCACTTCTTGCGGTATACCTGCGTCACCTTGCCCTCGCGGTCGTGGTAGTGCCCCCTCGCGATCATCACCTCGTCGTCCCGCCGGATCGGGAGCGAGCGGACGCCGTACTTGGCGCGGAGGTCCTTGCTTTAGGTCGGGCATGTCCTCCTACAGGCGGACTTGGGAGAAAAGTGGAGAACAGCCGACAAAAATAGCCGACAAATCGTCCCCGGACTCTCTACTTTGCCTACTCTGGAATCGCAGAGGGACATGCCCGACTTCTCGTCCTTGCTCAGCGGCGCGCTCATGAGCTTCCTGCGGATGTGCGACGGGGGGCGGCGCGCCCCGGGGGGGCCAGGCGCCAAGGGGGGAGGGCCGGGGGCGGCCTCCCGGGAAGGCGAGGGGGGCCCTCTCGGGAGGGCCCTGCGCCCCCCCGATGAGACGAGCGCGTTCCACGGCTCGCAAGAGAAGTACTCGCGAGTGGCCCGGCTCCGCCGCGGGGTGGTCTGCGACGAAATACATCTCAAAGCAGGCATGGGCGCTTTTCGGAAGTTTGCGAGCAGGCCCTCTGCGAGTAGTGGAACGCGCTCGGTGACCAATGGAGGCTTCCATATTCTTTAAGCATAAGGCGCGACAACAAAAAAAACGGCAGGAGCAGGACTTTCTCGGAGTCCCGCGCGGAATCCTTGGATCTCGGCGCTGGACCCCCCTCCTTGGCGCGCGCAGCGCGCCAGGGGCGGCGCCGGAGACGCCGCCAGGGGGGGGGCCAGCGCCGAGGCAAGGAAGCCTCCCTCAGAAATCGTGGGGTGGTGGGGCAGGGCTCGCCTGTGGCCTCCTATCAAGGTGGCCTCCGATCAAGACGACGGGAAAAAAAAACTGGCCAGCCCGACGTCTTCATGATAGAACGGATGCCGGGGCCCGCCCCCTGGCGGCCCGGCCGAAGGCGTCAAGGCGGAGGGGGGGTCCCCTGGACCCCCGGGCGTGTTTGCCCCAGGAGGCCTCTGCTTTCTGACGCTCCCGGGGGGCCCGGGGATGGCCCCGGGAGTGCGAGAGAACGGCGGCAGAATCTCGAGGACGCCAGAGCGACGAAGAGAGACGGGTCTTGCGCTCGGTCCGAAGCAAAGAGGCGACGGGCCCGAAAAAAAACGGGGCTGAAAACGCTAAATGGCCGTCGCGTGTTTTTAGCCCCCCCCCCAAAAAAACGGGGCTGAAAACGCTAAACGACCGTCGCGTGTTTTTAGCGTTTGTAGCTTGTCGGGAGCCCGAAGTGCAAAACGGTTACCAAACAACAAAAAACGCCCAGGGCGTTGCTAAGAACCAGGGTGTTGCGCACGATGGCACAGCGACCTCACGCGGTGGCTTCCGCGGGTCGCCAGCGTGGCACCCCTCGTGCAGAAGCGGGCGCCGACGCGCGACCTCGCGCAGGAAGCTCACGCGCGAACGTTCTCGAAGTCGACCCCGTCTTCTTTCTGTCGCTCACCGCTCCTCCCAAAAAGATGTCTCTCCTCGATGCAGCGCCTGCAGAAGCCTCCCCGAGGGAATCCGCGTAAATGAATCGCCGATACCTCTCCACGGCGACGGCGGCGATGCACCGGCGACGTCGGCGTGCAGAACATCGGGCTCCACATTGAGCCGCATCGCCGATGCATCGGCGATGCGGCGCGATCCTCCGACGCCATCTTCTCTGACCCCAGCTGGGGGCCTCGATGAGCATCCTTTAACTGATCCCCATCCCCACTGGCATGGCCTTGGTCCCACTGGCCGACCTACCCCCGAGAGAACGATATAGGCTGTTCCTTTCCGGTTTCGACGGGCCTGTCCCCGACCAGGGGGGTCGGATGGCGGGGCTCGAAACACACTCGGACTGCTGAGAGAGGGAACGCGAACTACGGAACGAAACCCCTCTTTGGCCCCAGGAGCGCCCGCGTGGACGAGGAGCGCCCAGGAGGGGCAGCCACGGAAGCACCCGAGGAGCACCGAGGCCCCCCCCCGAGCCCAGGAGCTGCTCCCTGCTTCGGCACCCTGGCTGTACCACGGATCGGTGCAACGATACCGCCTGGAGCCGGGGCTCACCTTGCTCTCGAGGGAGAAGAAACAAAAAACAAACAAAAAAACAGTATATCTATATATAACATATATATAGATATGTATAGATTACTACTAATAATAATAATAATACTAATGATGATAATAATAATAATAAGAATAATAATAATAATAATAGTAATAATAATAATAATGTTAATACGAATAATAATAATGAAAATAATAATGATACTAATAATAATAATAATAATAATATAATAATAATAATAATAATAATTATTAATAATAATAATAATAATAATAATAATAATGATGATAATAATGATGATGATGATAATGATGATGATGATAATAATATTATAATAATAATATACTAATAATAATAACAATAATAATAATAACAACAATAATAATAATGATGATGATGATAGTAGTAATAATGATAATAATAATAATAATAATAAGGAGAAGAAGAATAGTAGTAATAATAATACTTATTATGATAAAAACAACAACAACACAACAACAACAACAACAACAAAAAAAAACTCTTGGCGCTCGGCGCGGATTTCTGGGATCGGCGCTGGGCCCCACCGGGTCTGCCACGGTGGCTCTGCGCCCGCCGCTCCGCCAACTTGGGGGGGGGCGCCGTCGTGCGTGTCCGCGCTCGAGCGGCTCTGCGCCTGCTCACAAGCGCCCAGTCGAATCTAGGCGCCGGCGGTGGAAGCCCCCACCTCGGCGGCCGAAAGTGTGGCATCGAAGGCCAGAACCATCGCCTCTGCGGGTTTGGGGGGGCCCCTTTGCGGGTCGCGCACGAAAAAACTAAAAACAAAAAAAACAAAAACAAAAAATACAAAAACAAAACAAAACAAAACAAAAAAACAAAAAACAAAAAAAAAAAAAAAAAAAAAAAAAACGCTGGACCCCTCCTCCCTGGCGCGCGGAGCGCGCCAGGGGCGGCGCCAGAGGCGCCGCCGGGGGGGGGCCCAGCGCGGATCCTAGACATCCGCGCGGAGCGCCAAAAGTTTATGTTTATGGCGTTCTTTCTTCTTCGATGCTTTGGGGGTCCCAAAACTATGTGGTGACAGACCCGGCGGTGACCTTGAAGTCCGCAATGACCTGGTCCGTCACCACACGGTTTTGGGTCCCTGGGAGCCCCAGTCGCCCGAGCCACCCTCGGAGAAAACGACCCGAGTCCCAAACTCGTGCGGTGACCCCGAATCCCCACCGACTCACCACACTCGGGGACGCGCAAACATGGATCGGCGGAGGTGCCCTCCCCAAAATGCAGCCGATGCCGCCTCGTCCCGCGGCGGAAATCCGCGACTTCCCATGGAAGCGAGACCCGTCGCTAATCCATGCCCCCTTGAGATCCATGTTTGCGATCGCCTGACATGCGGTGTGGGGTGTGGTCACCACCCCAGACGTGCGACGTCCTGGTTTTTTCAGTGCGGCGCCCCCAGAAGTCCCGACCCTGTCCCCGGGACCGGTTTCTCATCCTGAGTCGTTCTTTGACGCTCCCGGGAGCCAGCGAAGGCCCCCAGGGGCCAAAAACTGGGAAAAACGTGCCGTCCTGATCTCTTTACGACGCGATCGTGTCTGGGACCCCATTTGGGGGGCCTCCGAAAGAGGCTCGCCCCCCCGGTGCGCGCCGCCCGGGACGGGGCCGTGAAGTAGGCCTTGCGCGACTTGCGGCGGGAGACGCTCACGGTGGCCTTTTGCTTCATGGCGGGCGGCCGCGGCCGGGCCCCTCGGGCCGCGCGGGGGGGGCGGCTGCCCTGTGCCCCCACGCGCCCGCCGATGGGGGGGGTGTCAGACCTCGGGGGGACAGCTCCAACAAGGGCCAGGCCAGGGAGCAGGCACAGCAGCAGAGGAGCAGAAAACGGCATAGGCATGAGCTTCTCGCGGTCCGCGGGGTTTAGTGGATCTGCGCTGGACCCCCCTGCCTGGTGCCAGGGGGGCCCCAGAGTGGACGTTTTCTTCTTCGGCGTTTCGACATCGAGCGGAGGAGGGAGCGGGAGGGGAGGGTTCTGGCTCCGGACCTCTGCTGAATGCGACTGTTTGCAGCAGTGCGTCCTTTTTGAAGGAGACTCCACCTGCTCCAAGCAGGCGCCAAAAACATCCAAGATCTCCTCCATGGGGGGAGGGGGGGGCGAGGACCCGCGCCGATCGGCAAAACAATGAATAAGAAAATGATCACACGCACAACAACAACAACAACAACAACAACAACAACAACAACAACAACAACAACAACAACAACAACAACAACAACAACAACAACAACAACAACAACAACAACTGCTGCTGCTGCTGCTGCTGCTGCTGCTGCTGCTGCTGCTGCTGCTACTGCTACTACTACTACTACTACTACTACTACTACTACTACTACTACTACTACTACTACTACTACTACTACTACTACTACTACTACTACTACTACTACTACTACTACTACTACTACTACTACTACTACTACTACTACTACTACTACTACTACTACTACTACTACTACTACTACTACTACTACTACTACTACTACTACTACTACTACTACTACTACTACGCACAACAACAACAACAACAACAATTACTAGCACGTGGGGACACTCCGTTCTCACCAGTGCCAGGGTTTTCATAGGAGGCGGGCAATACCCCCACTTTGTGGGGGGGCCGGTTCAAGCTCTACCAAATTTCCAAACGACTCTTCGCCACCACCCACACCCAGCTTCCCGCCCTATGACGTTCGGACACTTCACTTCGTGGCATGCGGACGACCGTGGCTACTATTCAGGGCCCCGCGGCCGACGACGACGGCGTGCGCGCGCGAAGAAAAAACGAATGTGTCCCGCATGGTATTATTTGACAGGGATGATGGCCCTGGCAGGTGCGCAACCGTTGTTGCAGAAGTTCGAAAAAGTTGCTCGCAAAAGCCCGTTTGACAGAAATGTTTAAAAAGTGTTGGGTTTCCTACGAATCCGCAAGAGCGCGCGGGATGAAATTTTGACATTTTTTTGAAAAACCATTGGTTTTTTGATGTTTTTATGTTAAAATCGCTACGAAAACTAAGGTTTTGGAAGGATTTCGTCTTGCGCGCGCGAATGTCCACTTTACCTTATTTTTTGCAAGGGATTCTTGAAGTTTGGTTATGTTAGAACAAGAAATGTCCACTTTAGCTTATTTTTTGCAAGGGAAAGCGGGCCGTAACAAAACAACCGGATCCGGACCAACCCGTTTTGCCTGAGACTTCCTCACGAAAATGATGAAAATGTGGATGCGGCCTAGGCGCGGCGGGGGGGTCGTGCACCAGGGGCCCCAACAATAATTATTCTTTAGAAGTAATAATGTTCAACAACAACAACAACAAAAGCAGCAGCAGCATCAGCAACAACAACAACACCAACAACAACAACAACAACAACAGCAACAGCAACAACAACAACAACAACAACAACAACAACAACAAC